GGGGCTGGAGTCATTAAAACCTGTTACAATTTTAAAAGGAGTGTGCCAAAGCACTGTGTGGAGCTGAGGCAGAATGTGTTGGAGCCCACAGCATAACAGGAGGGTTTTTAAATTAATTTCAAGTAGTATAGCAAGTTTAGGAAATAATTAGTAAAACTTTACTGTTTTTGAAGCATCTGTGTAAATGGTTTTAAAAACCAGTAACAGTCTTCCAGTTTTGATCCCACCATATAAAGAGCTTAAAGTCATTACTCCCTTCCTACAAGGACAGAAAAGATGAACATCGTGTTCTAATGTCTCAGAAAATTGAGGTTGTAGAGATAGCCATCACCTCACACCTGGTGAAACAGGTAGATAATAGTGCGTTATGAGTTTAATTGTATCCCTCCAAGAGTTATGCCAAAGCCCAACTCCCAGCACCTCAAAATGTGACCTCATTTAGAAGTACAGCTGTAGATATAATTAGTTAAAATGAAGTCATATGGGAGCGAAAGTGAGCCTTTAATCCAATATGGCTAATCTGTGTGTAAGAAAAGAGGCAAAGACACAGAGACCTGTGAGAAGAGAGTCCCACGACAGTGGATGCAGTTGCAAGCTGAAGACCACCAAAGACTGTAAGCTACTGCCAGCTAGGTAAAGAAAAGTCTCCCCTACAGGTTTCAGAGGCTTACACCTTGACTTATGGGTTTCTATCAGTCAAACGTGTGAGTGAATAAATATCTGTTTGTTTTAAGCTACCCAGTTTTTTTTTTATTACTGCAACCATCCTATACACAAAGAAACACAAAGTCAGCTTATCTGGGGCACAGGTTGTTAGGGTCATGAATTAGTAGAAGCATCCATATGGTGTTTTAATAAATTATTGGAGGCTGAGTGTAGTCTGAGTGGGAAGCTCCTGAGGGATCACAACCTTGGGCAAAGTCTCAGTTCTTTCATGGGTTTTATCTCTGAGAAGTTACTGGTTGTCATGGTGAAGAGCCACAAAATATTACTTTGTGCCCTTGACAGAAGGAAGGAAAAAGTAACCATTTATAAACATACTCTATATATGCTCCATAAAAGTAGCCAGTTATTCAGAAAAGGTCATCGTCAGATCTGTAACTGCCTGTGGGAGAAGATCCAGTTTTAACTGCTTCTGTGCTATCTCACCTAAACTGAGGAGAGAAAAAAAGTTGGGAAGCCTAGGGACTGAGATTTGTTCATAAGAATATAGAATGTTTTCTCTCCCTCCTTGTCACCGCATTAAGATGTGGGAGTGTTGGCCAGAGGCATGTGTGAAATGGATATGCAGAGGTAAGGGATTTTTGAAGCCACGCACCCAAAACCTCCCAGAATGCATGGTTAGAGATTATAAGGTGATAGCCACAAGTCTAAGTAAGATCAAAACACACTGCCTTAAGAAATGAATACTCTGGCCCTCTCCTCCTTCATACTCCAATTTATCATTTAGATTGGCCCTAAGGTCAATCATGTAACATACCATCCTAACCTCCCCCTGTCCTTCCTGGTTCTATCAATAAAAAGCTGCAGAAGCTTCAGTTCCCAACTTTATGAGACTCTTGCTGAGGGGTCTTGGCTAAGGGCAGTCCCTCTGGCCTTTCTTGGAGTTTGAATTGGACACTGACTCTGAGTAGTCTCTCATCCTTTGCAGTGTCATGAACTGTGACAATAAGGCTCCGGGATACTGTCTGGACTACAGCTGAGGATCTGCAAGGCTCAGAAACTACTTAAGAGGGAGTTCTTGGGGGAAATACAGGGGAATAAAAAACAAGAATGCTAGATGGGAAGAAAGGGACTAAAGGTATAGGGAAGGTGGGATGGGTAGGGGAAGGGTAATAAGGGAAAAGAAAAAATGTGAGATAATGAAAAGATGGAAATAAAGTGTTTGTAGATGGGGAGGGGAGGAGGGGGTGAAGGGAGGGCAGGGACAAGGGGGAAAAATGAGAACCAAAACCTGTCATGTAGAGGTACAAGATCCCAACAATGAATGTAACTGTACGGTATCCCTAAAATGTACCAATAAACAATTAAAGCTGCAAAAAAAAAAAAAAAAAACAAAACAAAAACCAAGAATGCTAGAATTTGAAGATCCCAGTACCTTAACTGTGGCAAATGTGAAGCATAGCTCAACTGCAAACCAGAGTAACATAAAATCTCACACGAAAAGTCTAATCACCTCCATCCAGATTACCCAATACATTATGTCTGGTTGTTATAGCTCATATCTAGATGTCCCCCTAAAACAGCCTCATGGCAGTCATAGGTGGGATTTTTTAGACAGAGCTGGATCTAGGATGTGTGAATGTGGGTTGAAGGTGTGATGCTGGGATTAAGAGTATGTAGTACTGTATTAGTCCACTAATTGTTTTAACACAGTCCTGGTTGTGGATGGCACCACAAAGGGTTTATAGCCTAGATGGGGTAAAGGGGGAAGGGACGTTTGCTTCTTGCTGCTTGTTACCTCCTGCCTGCTCTGCCATGAAGTGTTTCTCCTCTGCAGTACCCCCTCTGCCATGCCACTGCCTTGGAACCAGTGAATATGGACAGAAACCTCCACAAACTATGAGCTGAAAGAAATCTTTCCTCCTTTAACATGTGAATGTTGGGTATTTTGTCTCAGCAGCAAGAAAAGTAACTAAGATATTGGCTCTTAACAACATAAAAATCACAAAACATATTTGAAGAAAAAGAAAACACAGTCTAACAGGACAAAATACGCATCTGAACCAGAGCCAGACGTGACATAAGATGTTCAATTAGAGAGTTGGAAATAACTTTGATTAAGATGTTAAAGTCTCTACTGGAAAAAAGGTAGATGACAGCAAGAAAAGGTAATCAGAGAAATGGAGACTTTAAAAAATAATCAAACAAAATGCTTGAGGTTTTAACATTATAATAGAAAAGGCAAATGCCTTCAATTGGGTAATACATTGGATATAGCCAAAGAAAGAACCAGTGATCTTAACAATGGGTCAGGAGAAACATCATAGACTGAAGTACAAAGAAAAAAAAAAGCAGAACACAATGTCTAAGAACTGCAGGGAAATCACAACAGGTATAATGTGTTGTGTGACATCAGAAGGAGAAGCAGAAACAGGAGGAGAAATACTTGAAGGAACAGTAGCTGAAACTTTGAAAAATTAATGACAGGTAGTAAACTACAGATTGAGGAATCTTAGAAATACCTAGCAGGGTAAATAACAAAGAGTTTGTATTTGTCATACGTAAATTGTAGAGAACTAAAGACAAGGAAAAACCCTAAAATAATACAAAGGAAAATAAACACCTTACCAAAAGGGGAGGAAGAGTTATAGCAGACTTCATCAGAAACCATGTGAGCAAGAAGACAGAGGAGTGTGATATTTAAAATATTGAAGGAAAATTCACTCACCTAAAATTTTATATCTCATAAAATTAACTTTCAAAGGTAAAACAAATAAAGATGTTCTGAGACAAAGAGAACTCATTGCCAGGATACCTGTAAAAATGTTAAAGGAAGTTTTTTCAGAGAGACAGAAAATGATATAGGTCAAAAACAGTGATCGATGTGGAAAGGGAAAACCATTAGAGAAGGATTAAATGAAAACAAACTAAAAATTTAGGTTTTCTTATTCTCCACTGATGTCATAAGTAAATATTTGTTGAAAGTACTAATAATAATCACCTGAATTAGTACAGCACATGAATGAGTGGAAGAGATGGCAGCAACTTTATCAGGGACGAAAAGACGGAGTCAGGAATACTTTAAGTTGCTGTACCACTTGTGAAGCATGTACTGTTAGTTGGAAGTACACTAAGCGGTTGGGGATGTGGCTTCCAGGTACAGTGTTTGCCTAACAGGAGGGAGACCCTGAGTTTTACCCCAACGCAGAACAAAAATATAAATCGTTAAGGCGTATTGCAAATTCCTGGACATGATGCCGAGAGAAGAGGAAATGGGTTTGTACAATATCAAAGTCCCAGAAAGCAGAAAGGAACAATTAAACAGAGTATGAAATGGAAAGGACATAGTTATACAGTAGCATCACTCTAACTATATCAATAATAACTGTAAATGTGAATGGTTTAAATACAAAAAAGCCTGACATTGTCAGAGTGGATTAAAACACAACCAAATGATACGTTGACTATAAGAAATCCACACAAATATAAAAGTAGGTACAGGTAAAAAGAAGAATGCAGAAGGGAATGTAGCACAGTAAGGAGCCACTTATTGCTTCAAAGTCACAGCAAAACGTTACTCCAGAGTGCCAGGAAACAGTCTGTGCTGAAGAGAAATGTGTGCGTGTGCGCTCACCAAAAAGCACCCGGGAGAATATTCATGGCAGTTATTCCCAACCACCTCAAACAAACGCCCCCCCGCAGTAGAGGGCGCAGTAGAGGGCGAAGACACTGTGGATTATACTTGCGGATGAAAACAGCCTGAGAAGGTACTGCGTGGGTGCCCAGGAAAGAACAGTGCCGTGTGGTCGGGCGGCTGGCAGAACTGGAGGGGACACCAAGTCAGGAAGGGGGGCGACTTGGGCAGAGCTGAGAGGGCTCCTGGAGCCTTGTCCCATCTGACTTCTCCATCTGGGTGAGGACGCGTTCCTGGTAAACTGTGCTGAAGGTCTGCACGAATTCTGTGTGACTAGCACAAGTCCTAAAGTTTAAAGAGAACAGAGTTTGGAAAGGGGAGGCCACTTGGCTGGGGGCGGTGACCCGCACCCCTCCTCCAAACCTCCGCTCTGCCAGCCCCTCGCCCCTCCTTCCCCTCCCCTCCTGTCCCCCTAGGGCTTGCGGGGCGGTGCTGGGCTGGCAGGGCCACTTCCTTGGGGGCACCTCTTCTCTTCGGAGTTGCTGGCTGCGCTTTGGCCACAGCGTCCAGGCCTCTCGTGCTCCGTCCCGGGCAGGCGGAGAGGCCACGTCGGTTGGAGCCGGCCCTCGGCACCAGGCTGGGGTCCCGGGAG